TAATGCAAATTCAGAATCAGAGTTTGAGATTCTGCATTTCTAACAAACTCTCAGGTGATATTCCTGCCACCGGTCCACAGAGTGCATTTTGAGTAGCAAAAATGTATTCTTCACTTTCAGTCTTATGAGAGGGTGACAGCTTTGAAATTCAAAAACATCAGTGTTCACTTCTGGAGGAATGCTAAAATATCTAAATGGTACATGTCTGATGGAGCTGCAGAGTCTTCAACACTGAACGTTTTCCCCAGAGAGACTTACTTGGAAGGAATGTATCCGTGAGCATGTGGGCTCTGAGAGTCCCAGGCCTGGCATTCAAGTCCAGACATGGTCCTGGAAATTTTGCCCTCGTAAGTTTCTCCACTGCAATGCATGCATTCATCTGGGCAGAGTGGGGAAGAAGGAAGGAGAGGAAGAAAGAAACTGACACAGATGAAGCAACACAGAGAGGAAAATGAGAATCCTACCAGAAATGTCCCAAATACCACTGCCACTTATTCATTTGTAATTCCCAACAATCACTTGGCAATAAAATTGGCAATAAACATTCAGAAATTTTTAATACAACCCAAGATGTCATTCTTTTTTTCAAATGGTAAAATTAGCATATTTTGGTCAATATCCCTTCAACTATTGTAGTCATGACCAAACTCAGAATTTCCATATTGCCATATCCTCAAACCAGGATGCATAGGCTGGTGGGGGGTGGGGGGCAGGCGGGGGAAGAACATATTCTCAGAAGTCTCTAAGTTCTCCATTAGGATTTTTAAATATTTGACATCTTCGTCTCAATAACGACCTTTTAAATTTTCTATGAAATCATTCTGGTCAGTCGGGTGACTGCCAAATAAGGTGGCACCATTCTAGAGTTTTAGTGCTGGAGTTTTCGTTTGTGTTCATGACCTCAATGGAGAACAAAATTCACCTAAATTGCTGGTGCTTCTCTTTTACATTGTTGAGAAGCATGAATGGCTGTTTTTTGTTATCTTGAATTACTTAAAAACTGAACCTTTGACTCAGAATTGTTGAAGTACTGTGGTGAGTCATAGTAATACATGACTTTAATCTTTATGGGGTAATAAAAAAAACAAAGGCAGACTTGATACAAAAATGATGCATTCGTCGCCCTTAAGGGCTGAATGACCTGTAACATAGTGTACTTGTAAAGGATCCCCACGGTTCCAATGGAGNATTTCTATTTTAAATTTATGGTCCCCTTCGAGAATTTGGGGGAAGTTATGAATTCTTTTCCCAGAAAAATGTACCCATATAAGTAACACGTAAAACACTGGGGGATTTACAAAATCCCTGAGGTTTGCTCATATAGATCATAGGTTGGGAAGCCCTGAATCTTATTAGTATAGAGGGAAACAAAAAGAAAGGTGTAAAGAGAAGAGGGAAATATTTGGAAAATACACAAGCAAGATGTATCTGCATTTCTCACATTTTAATTTGTGTGTCAATCAGCTAAGGTTGCAATTATAATGCAAATTCAGAATCAGAGTTTGAGATTCTGCATTTCTAACAAACTCTCAGGTGATATCCCTGCCACCGGTCCACAGAGTGCATTTTGAGTAGCAAAAATGTATTCTTCACTTGCAGTCTTATGAGAGGGTGACAGCTTTGAAATTCAAAAACATCAGTGTTCACTTCTGGAGGA